TGTGAAACACTAATTTGAAATAATTTTCCAGACATGAAAGTACCTATTGATCATTAATTAGCCTTTGTTGCATGCTACTCCAAAAAATTTGTATCCAAGTTGTCAGTTTCCGATGCATCCCATGAACTTTTACTTGCTATTCAGTCTGCCATGTTGGAAATTGTCTAAAGCTTTTTTTTGCTGAAATCCAAGTGCACCATCCTCATCAACCCTTTTTTTTTTATTCCTCAAAATATTCAGTTTAATTTGTCAGACATGATCTTACCTTATGGTCGTTGCCCTTGATTACTGTGCATCTTTCTGAATTATGATTGATACTGTCCCTTAGTACTTTTTGAAAAAGTACTTAGTACTTTATAATTCCAATATTCTGACCACCTCATAGTTAGGATGTTTGTGATTACTCAGTCTGTTTCAATGCCCCATGCTTATTGAATGTTGCCCCTCTAGTTACATATAACTGTCTCTCTCTTTTATTGCAGGGGAAGTGAATTCTTTACTAAAACTGTCTTCACTTACAGGATCCGTATTCCTCTATTTCCTTCCTATTCATGCATTTGTCCAGGTGTGTCTTAAAGGCTGCTATTGCGTCTGCTTCCACCACCACCTCTGGCAACGCATTCCAGGCACTCACCACACTTTGTGTGGAAAAACTTGCCTTGCATATCTCTTTTAAACAAACCCGTCCACCCACCTCCTGCACCTTGAACCTGTTTCCCTAAGTAACTGACCCCTCCACCCTGGGAAAAAGCCTCCTATTTTCCACTCTATCCATGCCATTCACAATCTTATAAATAACCTCCTGCGTTCCAGTGAAAATAAACCCAGTCTCCCCAACCTTTCTTCGTAGCTAAAATCCCCCATACCAGGCAACATCCTGGTAAACCTTTTCTGTACCCTCTCCAAAGGATCCACATCCTTCTGGTAGTGTGGTGACCAGAACTTTCTTTTTTCTTCATTCATTCACAAGTTGAGTGCATCGCTGGCCAGGCAGCATTTATTGCCCATCCCCAATCCCAGTTAAGAGTCAACCACATTGTGGGTCTGGACTCACATGTAGGCCAGACCAGGGAAGGATGGCAGTTCCAACAACCACCAGGCTATAGATGGGCTTCTGGCCTCGGCTGCAATAAACTTGCTGGAAATGCAGATAGGCAATGGAAAATCTGGTGAAGATGTTAGAGACTGCAGAACCTCGTACAGATCATGGAAGAGCCCATGCGAATGAAGTTTTAGTGTGTGCACATATAGCTTCTTCCATTGAGAAGTTAGTGGCAGATCTGGGGAGCCAGTTCGATTAAATGCAAAGACCTGCATTTTGTTGCAGTAGCCATAGGCTTGTTGCATCAGTGGCTATGCGTGGAGTATGCACAGGTGTCTTGGATTTCCCTTTAGTAGACAGGCCCGCGATGCCTCAGACCAGCAGAAAGCATCCATTTAAGTCATTGCATGTAACTGGGTATTGGTCTTAGGTGCCTGAATTTAGTCAGTTGCTGATGTTGGGGTCACACCAAGGTGTAGGGGGCATAAAGTGAATCTACAGTGATAGCATGGGTGATGAGACACTAAGCTTATACCCAGGTAAAATTGCTCTGTAGCACAGAACCTAAGCATTATCATAACGTACATAAAGTTGAAGCTTTTTGACTTTCACTATTCGGGACTG